CTCTAGCAAATAAAAAAAATTCTTACTAAAAGTTGTACGATCTTAAATTATTTTACGATTATTTTATAAGAATATTTGATACCAAAATATTTTCTTCCTCATTACTTTAGTACTTAAACCAACCAACCAAACCATTCTCTTCATCTCACAAACGCAATTTCTATTTACCAATTACTAGACAAATAAAAAAGCACTTTCACTTTTGAACTTTTAAATTTTAACTTCTTTTTATATTTTATCCTGTTATTTGTTAAAAGGTATATAACAAAAAGAAACACATCCGTTTGTATCTTGAACCTTTCCCTCATCTCACGACAAGTCGTCGGTAATAAAATAAAAAAAACTAGTTAAAAAGCACTTCCTTTCAAGATTCCACCTTTCCCTTTCACAAGTCACATGTACTCAAATGAAAACACTCGATTTAAAAGTGCTTTTTTCGCCCCTCCTTGATCTTTTTACAAAGGGATTGCTTCTGCAAGGCTTAAAACAGTAAAGCATACACATGCCATAAACAGTGAGCAGCATAAGGTGAAAGTGGAAATCAGCAGCCAGTGGTACTTACTGCATGAAGAAGAAGACAAACTTATAAGAAAATACCCCCCCAAATCCTACTGTACACCAAAAACTTCAAACTTAAAAGTTAGAACAAACCAACCCCACCCCAAAGAAAATTAAAAGAACACAGTAAAAAGGCTAATACAATTCTTGGAATCTAGAACAAACACTCCAATATCCCCAGAAAACTAAAGACTTCATATGCTAAGAAGATCAGGCGGCGGTGATTGCGGTGGCGCCTGCTGTTGATGATCTTTCATGTTACTCGTTGTAGTTGGAGAATCTGATGCACTAGTGCCAGATGGAGGGAAGGACTCTGTTATTGCTGAATCTCCTCCTCCCTGTTTTGAGCCGGGCGCCTTTGGAAGCTCTGTTAGAATTTGAACCACTTCCCGCATTGTTGGACGCTCCACAGCTTGTTCTTCCACGCACAGCATTGCGACGTAAAACACGTGCATAACCTCATGGAGAGGGACTGAAGGGAGCCTGGGGTCAAGGATTTTTAAGACTCCTTCCTTGTTTGAGTCTGTCATTTTTCGAACCCATTGGACTATGTCTACTCCATCTCCAAATTCACCAACTGGTTTCCTGCCGCTAACAAGTTCTAACAGAACTACTCCGAAACTATAAACGTCACTCTTCTCATCCACCTTCAATGTGTAAGCATACTCTGCACACAAAAGAAAACATCATATTATTACAACCAGAAACCATCAAACCAAAACCCTTGTACGAATTTGAACTAGTCAACCCAGACTCAAGTTCAATTTTCAATTACTTATGATTTGTTTTGTAGGGGTAATATTTTCAATATTTAAAGTCTCGGTCGTTTGATGGGTAACAGTCAAAAATCATTAAATTCATGTACTTTCAAGGTATCCTGCCAACCACCATATCAAAATTTTCAACAGTTTAAATGTTTAATCAAGAGCATACATCCAACATTTAGAAACCCAAAGTCAAATTTCACCACATGACAAAGAGGCTTCTGCAGAAATAAATGCAGGGCCTCACTCACTGTAAAACATATATATATGGTATTATTGGGTCAAAATAGTTCTCAATTAAGACTAAAATGAGGGAGTTAGTACATTTTCTACAGTAGTAAAAGTACCCAAATATTCAAGGGTTGAATGAATCATAATACCTGGAGCAATATATCCATAAGAACCAGCAATTGCAGACATGCACTCGGACGTGCCTGAATCCTGCAGGAACTTGGCAAGCCCAAAATCAGCAACATGAGCTTCAAAATTGGAGTCAAGAAGGATGTTATTCGACTTCACGTCTCTGTGGACGATCAACGGTGAGCAGTCATGGTGAAGATAGCAAAGCCCCTTTGCAGCCTCAATGGCGATTTTGTACCTTGTGTCCCAATGCAAGTGGCCCCCTTTCTTACCATGAAGAACCTCACCCAAGCTACCATTGGGCATGTACTCGTAGACCAGAAGATTTGTTTCATGGTTTGAACAAAAACCCAGTAATCTAACAATGTGCCGGTGTCGAATTCGACCCAGAGTTTGAATCTCGGCATTGAATCCATGGTCATGGGATGACCCTCTGCTCATTGCTGGTAGTCTTTTCACAGCCACATTGTCACCATTAGGCATAGCTCCTTTGTACACAATCCCAGCCCCTCCTTTCCCTATGATGTTGTCTTCCTTCAACGAATCCAATACATCATCAACTGTGAAGTCCAAGCGCTGGAAAGCAGTCAATTTCCAAGCCCGGGACTCGCTCGCTTTCTTCAAAGACCGGGCTTTGATGATTGCAGCAACAGCGAATATGATGGAGCACAAAAGCAAACCAATAACAAGCAACAGCTTCAGAGAAGCAGTAAGGGACCCTTTGACATGTGGTTGGTGGGTGCCATTGGCAACCCCATCTTTGCACGGAACCAAATAGGGACCGCAGAGATCAGGATTGCCCAGAAAGGAAGTGTAATTGAAGTAACTGAACTGACCAGTACCCGGAACCAAACCCGAAAGATTGTTATAGGAAAAGTCCACAGATGTCAAGCTCTGCATTGTGGATATGGACGAAGGGATGCTACCCACCAGATGGTTTCTCGAGAGGTTGAGGTAATTCAATATCCGCATGCCTGTAATCTCCTTCGGAATCTCGCCGGCGAGCTCGTTTCGGCTGAGATCCACGAACGTCAGGAGCTTGCATTGGCTGATTTCGGGTGCGATCGGACCCAGAAACTTGTTGTGGCTAAAATCGATCTTGGATAGTTGCTGTAGTCTCCCAATCTCGGATGGGATTCGACCCGAGAACTTGTTGCCATCGAGGAGGAGCTTCTGGACGCCGGAGAAGTTGCCGATGGTCGGCGGCAGAGACCCAGAAAGCCGGTTGTTTGAAAGACTAATCTGGCCGAGATTCGGCGATATTGTATCGGTTTCGGGAAACGAACCGGCCAAGAGATTGTCCTGCAACTCCACTTGAGTGAGCTTGGGCAAGCCAAAGAGACCCTTCGGAATCGACCCATTGAGGAAGTTCTCACCCATCCGAATCCGACTCAGCGAGCCACACTTTCCGAGCGACTCGGGAATCGGCCCGAAAAGGAAGTTTCCGAGAGTGATGAGAGTCTGAAGATTATTTCCGAAACACATATCGGGAGGGAGAGTCCCAGTTAACTTGTTCGACGAAAGGTCCAAGGTTATAAGCTTTCCATTTTTGCCCAAGCCCTGAGGAATGCTACCAGTGAAGTTGTTTTCCCATAGCTGCAGAACCTGGAGCTCCGGCAAGTCGCCGATGAACTCTGGAATGGCGCCGTGGAGCTTGTTTCGGAAGAGATTCAAAAGGGTCAAGTTCTTGAGCTCCGAAAACGAGCCCGGAATCTCGCCCGAAAACATGTTGTTGGATAAGTCCATCGACTTCAAGCTCTTGAGGGAACCCAGCTCGGCAGTCAACGACCCAGAAAGGGCATTGACCTGAAGAAACAGAGTGTCCACATTTTGTAACCGACCCAGTTCCCGCGGGACCTCTCCGGTCAAGTTACAGTTGGCCGCGTCTAGCCGGACGAGCTGTGATAAGTTCCCGATCTCGGGCGGTATGCCGCCTTCGTAGACGTTGTAGTACCCCATATAGAGCTCTTTCAAACTGGTTAAATTTCCGATCTCGGGTGGTATCGAGCCGCCAAGCTCGTTCCCGGATATGGCCAAGTACTCCAGAAGCGGGAAGCGGCCGAACTCAGGCGGAATCCGACCCGAGAAGAAGTTGCCGCCCAAGTGCAAATGGCGGAGGCTGGTCATGTGGGTGACGGCCACGGGGAGGTCACCGGTCAAGTTATTGTTGTAGAGGTCGAGGACGGCTAGGCGGGTGAGGTTGGAGAGCTGAGGAGGGAAGGTGGTGTTGAAGATGTTGTTGGAGAGGTTGAGGAGGCGGAGCCCAGAGAGGGCCGAGATCTCGGACGGGATGGGACCCGAGAACTGGTTGTCGGCGAGGGTGAGGTTGGAGAGGAAGCGGAGGTGAGCTATGTCAGAGGAGAGAGTGCCGACCAGTTCATGACTGGAGAGGTCGAGGGAGGTCACGTGACGGCGGGAGTCGCACGTAACGCCGGTCCAGGTGCAGTGGCTGGTGGTGGGGGTCCAGGAGGAGAGAACGGAGTTTGGGTCGGAGGATATGGAAGATTTGAGGGAGAGGAGGGCGCGGTAATCGGACATTTCACGTGCGGCGAGGGAGTGGTGGAGATGGAGGAGGAGGAGGAGGAGAAGAAGGAGCCGCATTTTTTAATTTTGGTTTGTGGTTTCTTGGGTGGTGGAGGAGAGAAGGAGGAGGGGTGGGGGGAGAGTAGCTGAGTGAGAGTGAGACTTTGTTCACTTCTTCAGTAAGAAGAAGAAGAGAGAGGGTAGAGAGGCGGGTGAGCTTCGTGTGATTTTATTGTCTTCTTTTTTTTAATTCAAAATGAAAAATAAATAAAAATAAAAAGAGAGGATGGTTTTCTTTTCTTTTCTTTTCATTTTTTTAAATTTTAGGGGCATCCCTGAATTTGAATTATTTGATTGAATGTTTTGGACGCTTATTGTTCTTTCTTTCGCACCGGGAAAAATATTAAAAAGTTAAGAGAATTTTAAAGATAGAGAAAAAGAGAGGTGCTTTTTGGTTTTGAATCTTTTGGTTCAACGATGTTACAATAATACAGCTATACCCCATTTCTTTATTTATTTCTATAAAGTTTGATAAATAATTGGCGTGCAATGTATCATGGATGTGTTTCCAATTATCGATGTACTATCTATGGGTTATAGGAGAATGCTATGCCATGCCTACAAATACACAACCATCATGTATCTATTACTTTTAGTTTCTTTTTCTATTTATCTTCTCTCAAGTATATCCCTGTTAGGTTTTATCTCTTCGTATTTTACGCGGTGTTTGAGAGTTAAAAAAGTTAAATCTGAGCGAGAAACTTATGAAACACTCAAAAAGAAAAGTAGGAACCAATGACCTAGGTTCCAACATTGTTCGAACTTAAACTTGTGATGACAATATAAGTACTGACGGATCTAGGAATTTTCATTTCGGGAGTCAACGTGTAAAAGGTTTAAAAAAATTTCTATACAAAATAGACCCATTGAAATGAAATGATAATACTCTAATTCATAGTTAATAGACAAAACCATACAAAATATTCATGTTCGTTATCAAAGAGAACTGCATCAACTTCAAAAAATAGACACACATTGCAATACACCAGAAAATATCTCTAAGAATGTGATAATAAACCAAAAAAATTAGTGCAATCCTCTTCACCTCCCAAGGCATCTCATCCTATTCGACATAAAAACTAGCATATATTAGCGCAATCCTGCTCATTTTATGGCATTTACATCATTTTTAAGGTTCGTCGTAGTTTTGATTTTGGGCTTTTATCTGCATTTCTTTTGGGTTCTAACTCTCAAACTTTGGACCCTTATGAATACTGTCTTAGGGGGAGCTTATTCAAGCAAATATTTCTTCAATACGTATGAGTTAGGTTATTCTTATAAAACTCTTTGTGGATTGAACATCTAAGGTTTTTTTACCTAGATTGACCTTAGGTCCCTTCATACATTCATATCATACATGAAAAAATATTTTATGTAAAAATATTGGCTAAGTATGAAAAATGGTTTTTCAAAATAATCATTTTCTTAAGATAATTTTTTGCAGCTTTTATTCCTTACACATCAAATAAGAAAACTTGATTTTATGGAATTTTAGTATGAAGTATATATTGACTTAATGAGCCATCATTTTTAGCATAAATCGTATTTTGAACTAAAACCGATTTTTCATATTTTGATTTGGTGGGAATTTGATTTTCTAGTATTTTTTATTTGAATCCAAATGA